AGAGTTAACAAGACAAAGAATCTTTTTTTTCTACCTCAGACAAGAAGCTATTTGCCTGCAATGAATATCTGTTCCTTGGAAATATGAGACAAGTTTCAGTTGCAGATGTGAAATGATGACCTATTTTACATTGCGCCGTCTACAGTGCATATCAAAGAAAAATATTTAATGAAATGAAAATAAAGCAAGTTTAATCCTGCTACAGGCTTGTTGTGTTTCACACCTGATGAAAACACCTAGGAGGTCTGACAGCCAAGTGTAAATATATTTGTTTAGCATTTCCTAATAAAATTAAACCTGCTGGATTTTTTGGAAGAAGAACAATTAATACATGTGATCTGTACTAAAAGCAGTTGTGCATAATGATTGCTAATATGTCTCCTGCGCTTGTCATAAAACCATATACATAAATATGAATGCATAAATTAATGTTAAATGGGATTCAAAACCTGCACCTGAATATTGTCATTTTAGCATATGCTTCTTTGGTTTACTGCAAAATATCAGCTAGGATTTGAGGGAAATTTTAAACATTTTGTAAAAAGTATATTTGATATTTTACTATTTAGTAGCTATTGACTCTTATCTATGGAAGTAATATAAAAAAAACTTGCATTATGTTCACTTACAAAACCTTAAAGTTTGATGCTACTTTGCATAAAAACACATTTCTACAAAGATAAAAAAACAAAACAATCTATGCTGTAGCCTCCCTAGCGGTCTGATTATGTCCATATTTCTGTGCTCAAAGCGGTACATTTTTTTGCATAAAAATATGTCGTTTTTTTATTGTAGGCCTGTAATTTTTAAGAATAACTCACTGAAATCTGTCCGAACAAGAGTCTAGTAAACATTCCGGGTATGTTAAAATTTGAAACACAAAATCATAAATTATAATTTAATAAATAATCATAACAAATAATAATATAATAATAATTTGATTCAATAATATAATCAAACCAAAAACACTGAAATTTGTAATAGAGCGCCAGTTCACACATCACCGAGCAAAGTCGCAAAATCGTTTTCAGTGTCTGATGAGGAATTTCCCCACGAATCATTATCACTCAATTCTGCAAGTGGTTCTGATTTACTATCGCTGTTCTCTAGCTGGTCTAAAACCGCTTTTGACCTAAAAGGACGCTTTTTGGATGCCATGGACGTTTCTCAGTTTCCAAGCAGAAAGAACAGAAAAATGCAGGCAGGGCACAGGACAAAGCACTAGGGACAAAATGTATGTGAAATGGTTTGATACAGTAATGTTTTATTATGTGATTTTAGTGATTTTAGTGAATGTCACTTTTAAAATTTTTAAATTTCCCACCAGTTACATCCCCGTACGTCCTGACGTCGCAGGGAACGGAACCCGGAAGACATATGCCGGAATCAGCCGGAGGACATTGCCAGGGACACTGCAGGGGGGACATCGCGGGAGCGCAGGACAAGGTAAGTGCAGAAGGGATCCCAGAGCAGCGCTGCAAGGTATTCCTGAGTGTAGCTCGGGGTTACCGCTTGTGGTGCTGAAACTTTACCCCGAGCTACACTCAGGAATACCTACAGGGAGTTTAAGAAAGAAGTCTGGCTCTAGCCAAGTCCAAAGTATTTATTATTATGTCAAAGCAAATTTTGTAAAGTTTCCATTCAACAAAATCATATAGTAAATATAAAAAGTTTGCAAGTTTCAAATTATTGTTATTAACTTGTATGCTGCTTTTTTCACGTACTGTAGAATTATAAATATTATTAAAGCTCATGCCAGATTTTTTTTTTCTAATTAATAATAAAGTCACTTTCAATTTAAATTTAACTATTTTAAGGTCACTGAAAAGAAAAGTGAACTCATGTCAACAGTTAAGGAAAATTAATATGTATTAGATGCATTTATTTTAACTTTCATAAGGCTCAATTCACTAAGTTACAATGATCATTAATTGTCTTAAGGACCATTATTTTTAGCAGTGATAGCCAATAAAAGCAACAGTCACATGTCTGAAAACAATTATATCTTATGGCATAGTGCATTGGTAGTGAATTGATGGTGAATTGGTATTATTGAAAAACTAGAATAAAAAAAAAGAAAAAGCATTACACTAAAGGTAGACACACGCAAGATCGTGGTCAGAGATGAAGGCACAAGCTTACTGCCAAAGAAACTTTATAATATAATTCTTTTTTTTAAATACTCAGTCAGCATGCTTATGTTGTGAAACAAAGTAGCAGAAAAGGGGCCAGACACATTCAACTAAAGTCTTTTTCCAAAACAGCAACAGCAGTGGGCAAACCATTCCAGTCAAACTGAGTACACTGTCCATATCTTCAGTTTGATCAGCCAGAGTGCCTGCCTTGACCCAGAGATATAATGACCATCAGCTGATCCATCTGATTCTTATATATGTCCACTTTAAACACTGATGCATTAGTGATGGTGGTGAGTAAAGTTAGAACAAGGTAAAGACAGGTTTATGGACCTTTTGCTGGCAATGTCTATCTTCAGTTCTTCACTAGGGGCACTAACATCAGCAGAGTGTTCACTTACTTTGTATCTAAGACTATACTGAAGTCAGTACCCCAGTGGTGGATTTAGGTCAAAACTTTGAAATTAAGTGCAGGACCTTGCACCTCTAAGCACCCTCTCTAACATTTCAGCATTTTTTGTACTTTAAAGTCAGGTCTCCTAGAGTCCTATGCTACATCATTTCTCCACACAATTTATTTATTTATTACTGGTACTTATATAGTGCTGTCAATTTTTACGTATATAAATAATGATTGCTAATATGTCTCCTGTGCTAATTTATAAATTATGTCAGTGCTTTACATATATATTGAACATTCATATCAGTCCCTAACCCTCAAGGGGTGTACAATCTGAGATCCCTTACTCACATTCATACATACACATACTAGGACCACTTTAGACAGGAGCCAATTCACCTACTGGCATGTCTTTGGAGAGTGGGAGGAAACCCGTGCAGGCACACGGAGAACATGCAAACTCCAGGCAGGTGGTGTCATGGTTGGGATTCGAACCAACAACCCTAGTACTGCCAGGTGGAAATGATAACCACTTAGCCATTGTGCAATGTTAACTGTTTTATTCTTCTCTTAAGAAAACACATATCTCTACACCAAATTTATTCAAATCCAAACTTGGACACTAAAGATTTTTAACTGCTTGGTTACATGAACAATCTCAAACACTTATATAATAGATTTATAAATTTAAGCTAAACAATGTCAGAAACACCAGATTGGGCACCATAGATATGAACAAATATGAACAGATCTCACATCATTTTTTTCATCTATAGACAAGACCTTATTTTTTTCAATGCCTAAAGAACATAAACATACAACATTGTGTTTTTCATGTTTTTGCACTCAGCAGATACCCCAGGTGTTGACTTTATCTTTGGGAAACAAAACAAATATAGCTAATTTTCTTTTTTTTTTTAAGATAGGCTATCAGAAGATGTCTGCATTGCATCCAATGATGTATGGTTATTTCCTGATCTATGGGTAGCCCCGTGGTGTAAGCAAATAACTATAGCGGACTCGTTTCAGTGCCAAAAGTGGCTGGCTGTGTTGGATATTTTTTTTGGCTGATTGATTTTGTTCCCCTTAATATAGGGTGGCTGTTCCTTTTGCTACAATGACACAGGCATACATGTTTGTAGAAGTCACATCCTACAGATTACAGCCTCACATCCAAAACCCTGTGATGTCAATATCTAGCTTAAGAGTGGCTTATGCAGGTTTATCTTTTACTAACAACTAAAAGATAGTGAAAGATATGGCCATCCTCACTGTAAAGGGACAACCATGGGGTTTCCTCATAATTCATCCTATATGCTTTTGTAGCACATTTTTACTCTTGGCCCAAGGAATGGGCCTCAATGTCAAATCGTCTATCATTAAGGGCTCGTTCACACTAGGCTGTTTTGCCAACGCTTGCCAAACGCCCCTATAGCGTTTGGCAAGCGTTGGTCCGGTGTTTGCGTAGCGTTTTTAACGCTCGGCAAACGCTCCGCAAACGCCGCATGCGCGTTTAGCGGCGGTTGCTAGGCGTTTGCCGAGCATTAATAACGCCCCACAAATGCCTATAATGCATTTGAGTGGTGTTACCGCTCCGCAAACGCCCCGCAACCACGTCGCAACCGCACCGCAAACGCCCGGCCGGGCGTTTGCGGAGCGGCACCATAGACGAGAATAGGAGGCTTCAAAGCCTCCTGACTCGACCAGAGGCGTCCGTTTTGCCGCGATGCAACGCGACGGGACGCAAACGCTCCTGTTAGAACAGCACCATGTGCTGTAATGTGCAGAGTTGGCAGAGGCGTTTGGGAAGCGGTAAAAACGCTTCCCAAACGCCTCTCTGCCGCCTGCACACAAGGCTAGTGTGAACGTAGCCTAACAGAAGAATTTAACAAGAATCCAGAGTGAAAAGGGACTCAGCAGATTAACCCTAAATTAGTCATACTTGAGATAGGTTCTACACATAACACCCGTTTGTCTACGTTTGATGAAAAGAGCATATGTGGACATGTTAGGTTCTTAGGCTGCCTATAGACAACAGTGGGTGGAAGTATGATAGTCTAGCACTGGCTTAGACACAAAAACTGTCACCATTGGCAGATGGCCAGACAGAACAACGATCAGCTCATGTCTATAGCTACCAAAATGCTTAATAGATATCTCTCACAAAATTCCCATTCCATACAAGAGCAAAGGGTCCTCAGATGAAATAGAAAAAAAATGACTTTGTCTTTTAGACTATAGTTTGGTTTGGACAGAGTTTTTATAGCTGATTGTTTCAGGCTGTTTGTAACCCTACTGCATGACCACAGTTTTTCATGGTTAAATACAATGACACAAATATTAATGGTAACAATACTTTGCAAGTACCTTTACTAAGAATAAAATGCTTTGAAATAAACTAACTGTATAAAACAAGTATTCATAGGATTCTACATTACCAATAGTAATTAACAGTAGACACTTACATTGTGCAGCTTGTAGTAGAGCCCACAGGCATTACACACTGGATCGCCATTGGCATTTCTCCTCCACAATGTGGTGGTGGTAGTTTGACAGTTTGCACAAGACGTACCTGCTCTCCTAGCTGCAGACTGCAAGAAAAACAATATTTTGTGGCATAGACAATCATGGTTTGATTACAAACAAACAGTTTGCAGGAAGTATCTGATTATTTATAACGGAACAAAACTGTGTTTCAAGAGTTGAATTTAGTTTTGCTAATTTACCATTGGGGTTTTTTTATGCTAGAATTGTTTCATTTCAAATACCAAATCAAGTTCAGCAAAAAAAATGTAAGTTTTGTAATTCCCTTGAACCTCATTGGCTATTTGAAGTAACAATAGCTTGGCTGAAAATGACTCCTTTAATAAGTCAGCCCTTTGTCTCCTTGAATGTTAGTTTGCTAATGTTGACTAGAATGCTAGCTTGTTAATGAGCACTTCTATTCCAGTTTCCTAATGACCTCTGCATAAGATTTGTAATAGTGGAGATCAGTGTTTACAAGTGATGACATATAACCATCTAAATAGTCTACAGTTTCCTTAGTCCTTTCTCCCCACAGTACAACACACTTAATGGTTTACTTTGAGGAAATTGTTGCTGGGGGTTATCTAAGGAGTTCAGATTTCCGGCAGATTTTTCCTGGGAAGTCAGAGTCTAATATAAAGAGGGGGTTGGTGTGCGGACAGCTGCCAAAAAATCAGAGCTCTGTCTAGTCCTGTTTCAAAAAAAAGTGTTACTCTGACTACATAACATAAGGAATTTGTAATACAATATAGAATTTTTTTAAGTGTTATTTAAAATTCTGGAGACATGCAATGAAGGTAATTTATTAAAAGAATAGCGATCATCCAGTTAGGAAGTGAATGCTCACTTAGCATAGTGAATAAAGTGAGGAGGCTGTTTATTTTTTCTTTAATTCCCCGCACATAATTGGACATTATTCATAATAAGCATAGTTTAGTTTATTCACTAAGTGAACAGTCAACTTACTAAGTGAACAGTTTGTAACAGTTTTGTAACTCTTGTTTTGAACCCCATTATTTTAAATAGTGGCAGTAGTGGTGGTAGCAGTAGCCTTGAATAAGTAACGTTATTATTTTTTTTTTTTTTATTATTATTATTACTACCATAATAGCTTTATTCCTATAATTTATTCCCACTATCTTTCAACACAAGGGTAGGTTTGCATGGATGTAGACTTACTAAAAAAATATTTTTTTTATTTTCATTTACCCAGTAAAACTGTGCTTACTTGAGACATCCAATCACATGCAGCAAAATTAAAAAAACTAGGAATTTACCTTGCATATAATGGGATGTTTAATACAAAGTATGAATTGGGCTAAGTGAAAAATGCTCCTTAAGTAAATTAACCTTTAGGTCTTTGCAACACATTAAACATGTTTTCCTAATAAAGGTATCACCTTCATTTAAAAAAAGAAAAAATAAATTTGGCTATCTATGCTTAGAAAATTAGAAAAGATTATACAACGCTATCATGATTTTGGTGTGGAGTTCTATTTGTGGAGAAAGTACTTTATTCTCACATAAAAATAGATTGAAAGGCATAGTAGTTTCTTCACTGTACTCATTATCCCATTGTAGATTATGATCATCCTAAAATGATCCAGGGAAGAGATCACTGCTCCCTTAGTAAGTTAATTACAGGTATCATTGTTGACTAATGAAGATAGCTGAAAGCCAAAGATCATTAATATAAATAGCTCAACACCAAAGACATGTGAGAAGTAGATACCAGGAAGATTGTAATATGATGGAAAATCTAGGGCCAAAATGATTAATGTTGCGTCAGAGCAAATATTTCTTACTATGGCAGTAAGTCTGCTGATGAAGATACTAGTTTCCAGCTAAAAGCCCCCTATTCTGATACAGAACACTAACAAAAGAAGAGAACCTGTGGGGTGTCACTTACCAGCCTTCTTTTAGGTTTGATGAGGGGCCGATTCTGGCCGTTCATTTTGTGATAGAGTCCACATGCATTACATAGGTAATGTCCAGTGCCATCTCGCCTCCACAAAGGGGTTGAGGTTGCTCCACAATTTACACACTCCCTGCCTTCTGAAAACAAGATTACACATGGTTGATTTCTGCGCAAGGATATGAGTCTACTATTAAGTTACGCCCTAAATATAAATGAATGCAGCAACATTCTCAAGGTATTGTACACAGCAAGGAAGATTATAGGTAAAAATCCAAAATTATGTCAGAAAGATGTTTCTGAAGAACTTTTAAAGTTTTAAAGAAAAAACATAGAAAATTTATAAATCACTCTGCATAGTTGAGGCTTTTTACTTAGTTTTTATGGCATATTATAAACTGAATGTTAATGTTGTATAGTGTATGATACACTGACATTATGGCTACAGCTCAATGGGTGATTTCCCAAACAAGATAATTTATATTCCTACACAGCAAAGTTATGTTTGATTCAAACACATTACCCACTTTGCTTTATTTTTCTTTATTTTCCCCAAATCAATTGCATCACAAGTATATATATTCACCTAACTTGCGTCACACATGCCACGGGGAGATGAAAGACAATCAAAATGTTCTATCATAAAATGGGTCAATGAGTTTTCAGCTATGTTGATGTCAACCTGAAACCTAAAAATGTATAAATCTTCAAACAAGTGTTTTCAGCTCTGTCATGTTTTCTTTGCTCTATATGACAAGACCACATCCTTGGCCTTTCACTGGTAAAGTACAGCAATTCAGCCTAGTACTGAGACACTCTACATGACTGGCAAATACGGTCATTTGACAACATAAGAAGATTACATCACAACTAAATAAAGTGCAAATGTGAACAAAAATGATGTGACAATTAAAAAAAAAAAAAAAAAACAAGGCACCCATCTGACATCAGAATGTCTGTGCCTGTGTTTTCTACATCCAATCAAACCAGTAAGGCTCTCTTGTGATCTGCAGGGCCGAATCCTAGAGGTTTTTCTTTTGAACAGCGTGGATACCAGGGTAACATTTCAGGCCTGCTCTAACACTTCTTTAGACAAACCAAAGAGTCCATACAGACATCTCAAAAAAACTTATTAAAAAATTTAAAAAAAATTAAAAAAAACTAGCATTAATAAAAAATAAAACTAATTAATAAAAAATAATAAAATTAAAAAGTAATAAAAAACGACATTTTTCTTTTAAAGATAAGTGAACTTTAAAACAAGGTGCCCTTACGTTTTTTTGATTGCCTTCTCTGACCTAAACTACACCCCCTTCCCTCTTCTTAGATGCTTACTTCTTTTTACAGTGTGGCTGCAGCATTTGTTTGCATTTCAACCTGAAAATTTTCAGCTTGCCACAATTGTACAGCAGCTTTCTATACACTTCCATGAGACCAGTTCCCAATCATCTCTGGCCTTGGCACACAGTGCCATAAAAAACGATGGCAACTTTGCAGGTGCCGTTAGCACACAAAAACTTTTCAGGTCACCATGTAAACAAATGTTTGAGACCATGGTGGCCAGATCAGGTAAAGAGTGTACCTGGGGAAGGGAGAGGTTGGGGTAGTTCAAGAGAAAGACAGTGAGATTTGTTTAAAGGTACACTTTTTCCTTAGACTGACTGACAATGCACCATTGATGCTATCACTTGTCATAATACAATCATTTTACACCTACATATTTGAGGCTATTTACCAAAACTGGAGAGTGCAAAATCTGGTGCAGCTCTGCATGGAAGCCAGTCAGCTTCAAGATTTTATTGCCAAAGCTTCATTGAACAAGCTGAAGCTGCACCAGTTTTAGCAAATCTCCTCCATTGGTATTATAATAAATATTGTGAGCTTCAAACTAACAAGTATTGATGAGCTGACAAAAAAAGTTTTTGAAGGATAACTCCACTTTCACTGGAAAAAATGCAGCAAATTGAAAAAAAATATTGCATATACTATTGCTACACACGCCATATTGTATGTAATATTATTAGAAATTATCTAGCATTTTCAATCTGCAGCTTCTGTAATTTTCTGTCAAATTCAATGCAATATGGCAACCTGGAGACATTCCTTATACCCCTGGTGTAAAGAACGGCCCCAGAATGTCATTTCCTGCTTGTGTGATTGGCTCACTGATTTTCTCAGAGGTCTTAACTAAGATACATGACTAATTTTAGGCATCCCCTGAAATAGGAGTTTCAGTTTTGGCAAGATACTCCTCAAGGGTTAAATACTTCTAAAGCGATGTGGTCACTGTAACTTTTCTCATGAGAAAACTGAAAGAGCACCAGGTGATTATAATGAACCAGACCCTCCTATTCAGAATTCTTCCGCAAAGGACACGGAGAAACAAACTGCTAATTCTTGAGAGCAAAAAAAGGAGGGTATCTACAGCAAGGTTTTTTCATATCCCTGTAATGTACAGTGTTTATTCAGAGGGGATTGATTTTGTTATCTCAACAAAAGCAGAGTAACACTTTACATCTAGGTATATATAGTCTGTATGAACAAATACTTTTCAAAGTGAACATTCTTATATAAAAGGATTTTTAAAAAAATCACACAATTAGTCATTGTCATTACTAGGTAGACATACTTACAAGGACCAAATAAATAAATTGTGGACAAATGTAAACTTGTTCTCTGCACTTTTGAGACCCAAAACCCTAACGGGTGCGTACATGTGTATCCAGGGGCGGACTGATAATTTGCACTCGGGCACTGCCCGAGGGCCCGGGGTCAGTAGGGGGCCCCATGAAATGCCCCTGGTACCTTTTTTATAGGCTTTTTTGAGTTTGGGCAAGGACACAGGGGCCCCATGATCCCCTATTGCCTGGGGGCCCCATGAGTTGTCAGTCCGCCCCTGTGTGTATCGTAACTCAAAAGACCTTACTGGTGGCCTAAAGGTATCTAAAGCCATTAGATGACAGTCTTCTGATCTGGCCATTCTTAGAAATGATCTAATGTCTATGAAGCACTCTCAAACCTTGCCGACAAAGGCATCTTGGGGGACTGGTCATTAGACAGGTTAGATAACCTTGCTTATCACTATTGTTTTGTAATATGCTAAACTGGAGGTGTTTGCAGCACACTTCTACACAGGGTAAATACAAATGGTTAACCAAGGGCAACACAGATGTCTCTATACACTGCTAATAAGGCTTGAAAAAAAGTAGTGCTCTTACAATGGTGCCCATTGTATGCCATTTGTTTATAAAACAATCATAGCTTTACCAACAGGTTATGATATAACTGTAGCTTAATTTTCACCATAACACATTAAAATATCTATCTTCTAGGCGACGTACAGAAAATATGTCATTAAAGAAAAAATACATGATTGACTGTAGCATATAGTTTTATGGTGAATGAGAATTCGTCAAAAAGTAATCATATACACAGGAATACTGTGTTATGATACAGATGCAATTTTTCTAAGTTGTTCAAAATGGAATAGATTATTTTTGGGTAAAAAAAATTGGGTTTTAAACTTTCTATCAACTCCCTATTATTCTCTATAATATATATAGATTTTCCCAAAACCTATCATTAAAAATTTTATCAAGTCTCCCATTGGTGTTTATCTCATTTTACCCCTTATCACATTACTCTCTATAGCTGCTAAATATACAAAACTACTGTCCTAGCAATAAAATAATAACAAATAGCAGAGTAAAATAATAATAATCTATTTTCTTCTATATAAAGTCCAGTAACTGTTCATATTTTAATCCAGCATATTGAGTTTAATTTAAAGCATAATCATTTTTTCTTAAAAGAAAATATCTCACATCTATCACAAATCCAATAAATAATGGGTAGCTCCATTTTTTTAGGGTAGTGGGTGGAGCTACCGGGCCAACTGTGCATCCAGAACTGCTGGTTTGCAAAACAGATGCAGAAGAGTATTGTAACAATTTTACGAACTGTGAACAGCTGTTTCAGGCTTGTACGTAGTCTGAAATAACTATATAATATGAGGCTGTATCTATTCTGCAGTTATCCCAGAGGAATCATAGAATGAGCTATATGGTACCACTCACTGTCCTAAAATAAGGCGCAAACCCATTATTTATTGGAATTTGAATTTGTAAGTGATATACAGAAAGATGCCTTCTACTTTAATAAAGCTATACTGTGTTTTACAGTGGTTTACTGGTGATGGTGGGGGGTTGGTACTTTCAATTATGCCTCACTATAAACTGGATGGGTATTCTTCCAAGTTTAGCTTGACAAACAGATGCACCCCTTGAATGCACATTTAACTACTCTTTGGATTTAATGTACCAAATGTTAAGAACCATTTCTGAATAGACCTTAAAATGCCTCACAGTGGTTTAGTGGCAATGGTGGGGAGTGGGGATTAGGACTTTCAGTTCTGCCTCACTATAAACTGGATGGGTATTCTTTAAAGTTTAGTTTGACAAACAAGCTCACCCCTTGAATGCGCTATAGCTAATCTTTGGACTTAATGTACCAAAATTTATGAACCATTGCTGCATAGGTCTTAAATCGGCCTCTTTGCTCCTTCTTACTGCACAAATAACAGGAATCCCCATGTACATACTTACATCATGTTTTTTTGTAGAATTTTTGGGTTGATTTAATGAAAGTTCATCAAGCCAAACCAAACCTATTTTCTACTTCAGTCAACCAGTCACACTAAGGGAAACCTTTTAGGAAAAACAAAATTCCCCTAAAATGACAGGTCATTTGAAATTAACAGGTCCACTGGTTTGGCAAACCTATTGTATATACTCCTCACAAGCAGACAGGTGGGATTGATTTACTAAAAGTGCAGAGCGTAAAATCTGGTGCAGCGGTAGATGGTAGCCAATCAGCTTCTAACTTCAACTTCTTCATCTAAGCTTTGACAAAAAAAAATTGGAAGCTGATTTGTTTCTATGCAGAGCTGCACCAGAATTTGCACTCTCCAGTTTTAGTAAATCAACCCCAGAGTGTCCTCACAATATAATTATTAGAATGAAGATTATTTTTGCTATTAAGTAGATTAGTATGTACCCCTCTAAACGGCTATGTTATGGTTAAAAAATGTCTATATTTATTTGCACCACCCATTTTCATGTAATAAATTAACCATCCTGAT